GCTAACCTGTCCGTCTCCGTAGTTACCTTTGTTGAGTGTGTGTGTGTGTGTGTGTGTGTGTGTGTGTAGTGAGGACACTGGAGATCTGCTGAGCCAATGTCAAGTAGTGCAACAAATTATTGTTAACCGCTGTCACCACGCTGCAGCTGAGATCTCCAGAACCTATTCATCCTGTAACTAGAAGTTTCTACCCTTTGATCAACATCGCCCCCTTTCCCCACCCTGCAGCCCCTGGTCACCATTCTACTTTCTGCCGCTAGGAGTTCAGCATTCTTTCTAGATTTCACATGTAAGTGAGCTCCCGCGATCCGGGTCTTCTGCATCTGGCTTGTTTCACTGAGCGGAACGCCCTCCGGATCCAGCTGCGTCCCCGGCACCCCGGTGGCCTCTCAAGCGAGCCTGTTTCTAAGTCTCAGACCTGGCCTTGGAGGAAAAGACACTTCTATTTCGTTAAACACACAAAAACCCGCTCTGGTTTTGGTTTCAAGTCTCTGTAGGTATTTTTTCATTGTTCTGATGTGCTGATGCCAAGACCAGCTGCAAACATTCATTTAAGTAAGGTAGTCATTCAAAATGAGCAGAGTTGAAACTGGGGAGCTTTGGCACGTGATATGGAAGCATCCCAGAGCACAGCAGCGGGCGAGGTCTGTGTGGGAAGCTGGAAATTAGCTCAGGCTCAGGCCCCACCTAGAACAGCAGGCGGTTGCCAGATCCCTTCCTTCCAGAAAGACTCCCAGCTCGGCTCCCAGCTCACCATTCACTGCTGGGTCTGCTGAGTTTCCAATTATCTGCTCCCTCTCCCTCCCTCCCCTCCCCCTCCCGCCTCCTCCCCCTCCTCCCCTTCCTCCCCCTCCTCCTCCTTCTTTCTTCTTCCTCACTAATCAACCCTCTCGATTTGACAACAACAAAAAGGGGCAACAAACTCCAAAAGAAAGCTAAGGGAAGCTTGGATCTACTCTTTTAAAAGGAGTTTTCAATAGAAAACAGGATGGCATGGCGGTTAAGAACAGTGGAGGCAGACAGACCTCGAGCACAGGCTCACGGTTACCGAAGGGGAAAGGGCAGGGGTACAACAGGAGTTCGGGGTTTGCAGGTACAAACTCCTATACATAAAATAAACCACCAGGACCTACTGTACAGAACAGGGGACTATATTTAGTATCTTTTAACAACATATAATGGACAAGAATACGGAAAAGAATATACACGTGTAACTGAGTCACTGTGCTGCACACCAGAAACTAACACAACATTGTAAATCAACTCTACTTCAGTTAAAAAAAATGTTTTAATGAAAGTGAGTCTATTTCTACATTTCATTATATGGAAAGATCTCTACTAAACAGTGCATGAAAAACTGACAATAAAACACTGTGATGAGTGTACTGACACTTCATACACAGTGCTATCAACTTCTCTGGGTGTTGGAAAATTATTAGAAAAAGTTGGGGGGAAAAAGAAGCGTGGAGGTAAAGCCACATGGCTGTGAGCGCTTAGCTCTGGCAAACCACTTAGCCTGGGAGAGCGCCTGCCCTCATCCTTAAGGTGCAGGTAAGAAAATGGACCCCACCGGGTTGCTATGACGCGTCAATGCGAACGTGCCACCGGACGAGCGCGGGCCTGGCACACGGTAGGCGCTCCGGGGACGTTAGCGGGTGCTGCTCTGAACTGCAGGGGACCCGCGGGCATTTCTCCAGGTCTTTTGTAACTTTCTAAAAGTCCACTCTAATATCCAGTAAAACCACTGTGACGAAGAGTAAGTGGGTGCCAGTTTATTTCAGGAAGCACATTGCAAATTAGCCAAGCCCCCGTCAGGTGCTAGAGCTGGAAATGCCGTCAGATGGACTCCCCAGGTAAGGGTCAGGGTGAGCCCCCCCGCCCCACCGGGTAGAGAAGAAATTTAAAAATAGACTCGTCTCGGGGAGGGTGTAGCTCAGCGGTGGAGTGCAAGCTTAGTAGGCACGAGGTCCTGGGTTCAAGCCCTGGTACCTCCATTTAAAAAATAAGTAAATACATCTAATTACCCCCCCAAATAAATAAATAAATAAATAAATACAAAAATAGACCCTTATCTCTCAGTGCACAGGTTTTTCCAAAGATGGACCAAAAGGACTTGGAAGGGAGAGTCGCCTGAAATGGCAGGGACTTTCTGACAGTGACAGAATCGCAACTCCTTGGTGGCCCGTTCTGCGTTGTGCCTTTGGGAGTAGTTCCTGGAAACTCAGCCTAGACTTTCTTCAATTTCTTCCGTCCGACCAATGATTCTGGGAGTCGCGTGACGCCCCGTAACAAATCCTTCTCTGCTTAATCCAACCAGAGCGGACTCTGCACTTGGCAAATGACCCCTGACCGACGTGGAAACTCCTGAGACCCATTGTTAACTGAGCACAGGGTGACCCTGATCGGACACGGAACTTCCCGTGAAGACCCGCAGTGCGCGGGAAAGTCAGCCAGTAAGCAGAGAGTCGACACTAGTGTCTCGTTCTATGATGCAAAGGCTAATCCTCCCAAGCGGGCTTCATCCCTGTACAATGTTCTCCAGATGCCAACAGGAGTAGTCCCAACACCACACTAGCCAGGGCACAGTCTCACTCCAGCCCACATGAGCAGCAGCCTCTCACTGGCCCCCAGGACACAGTTCGTTGGGTAATTGAGCAAAGAGAAAGAACAGGAGCCACTAAACCAACACCGGCCGGCTTTGCCCTTCAAGAGAGACCCAGACCTGGGTCTCCCCAGTGGGAAACACGGCTTCTCTTTTCCTGGCTTCAAAAAAGATCCAAGGCTTTGTACTGGCAGCTGGCTCTGTAATCACAACCCCATTTTATTTAAATGATCCAGTCTCTTCCCGCGGGTCTTTGGCGAGATGACACGCACACCATCCTTTCCAGGCAACGGAAGTGTGGTCTCTGCCCCTGCGGAGTGGAGAGTCTGCAGAGTGACCAGGGTTTCAGGAGGCGCCATACTGTTTCTTCCACCATTTACTCTGCCGGGTTTTCACAGCTGCTTATGGCAGAAGGATCATGAGTAAAACCCATGTTGTTTTTTCATGTTCTGCTGGAAGTAGCTTCATGCCCAGGGATAGTGGTCCATTCTGGAATATGTATTGTAAAGACCAGCCCAGCGAGTCCTGACCCCTAGGACTGGTGAGGAGGGCACAACACCGTGCCCTTCACCTAGGGACCAAGGCATAAGCACCCTTCCACTGTCACTCATCCATCTCGAATCCTTTGGTGTGATAACCTCCGGCAAGGTGTGCATCAGTGTGGCCACTGCACTGCGGCCAGAGAGACCTTCTCAAAACCCAGGCCTAAGCATGTCACCACCCCATCCAGAATGATCCCTACCAGGCCCACCATGATTTAGGCCTGTTCTCTTTTCTTGTCTGGTCTGGCACAGACTACATGGTCCACACCCTTCCTGTGTTCTCTGCTCCGGCACACCACCCACGTCTCAGCCCCTCCCCCGCCTTCAGATCCCAGCCTGGTTCCCCCCTCCCA